TCCCTGATATAAGGAATTTGAGAGGCAGAGTGGGGAATTTGGGGGGGTAGGGAAGGAAAAATGAAACAAGATGGGATCGGGAGGGAGACAAACCATAAGAGACTCTTAATCTCACAAAACAAACTGAGGGTTGCCGGGGGAAGGGGGTAGGGGGGTAGGGTAGGGTTGGGTTATGGACACTGGGGAAGGTATGTGCTATGACGAGTGCTGTGAAGTGTGTAAACCTGGCGATTCACAGACCTGTATCCCTGGGGCTAATAATACATTATATGTTAATAAAAAATTGAAAAAAAAAAAAAAAAAACAACAAAAAAACCCCCAACTGATGATACTCTGGATACATTATGAATTTGGGTTAAATAACCAAAACCTGAGTGTTAAAAGAGAATTAGAATTACCTGGGGATGTGTGGTAAGCAAGGAGGATCCGGAAACATACGATACTTTCTCATAATGGGACTGGATAATCCAGTTGGAGCTTCCAAGGGCATAGCCTGAGCTTAGCGGAGTCACCTGGACTGCACCAAAAAGCTCCTAGAAAAGAGCCACGGTAAGAATGTATGATGAGCTTTCAGCAGTGCAGTCACACCAGGTAACTCTTTGCAGGGAAAAAACCCAGAAATATCCTTGTTCACTTAGATAAAGAAAATTTAAAGTAAAACAGAAAATATAAAGTAAAGTAAAAAACAAAACAAAACAATGCCATATAGGTAGACCCAGAAAGCAATCCTACAGTCTTGACTTGCCTCCTCTCTGAGTTTCAGCCTAGCCACATACACCAGGCACCCAGTCTTTACTCATCAAAAGAGAGAGACAACAGATTAGCAGAAAGACCAAAGAGAGAAATACTTGGGTTTTCTTTCTTTCTTTCTTTTTTTTTTTTTTAGGCTAGGCATTAATCTCTTGGTCATTCTATACTGAGTGGCTCTGGGCACAAGTTAACAAAAATGGGAATCCTTAACTATCCGGTCAGAGTTCGAAAGTTTTACTTGCCAAACTGCTTCTTGATCTGTCTTATACTCTCTATTTCCTATTTCACTTGTCCAAAACCTATAAAGTTGCGGGACATCCGGGTGGCTCAGCCAGTTATGTGTCTGCCTTCGGCTCAGGTCATGATCCCAGGGTCCTGGGATCAAGTCCCACATCGGGCTCTCCGCTCAGCAGGGAGCCTGCTTCCTCCTCTCTCTCTACTGCCTCTCGGCCTACTTGGGATCTCTGTCTGTCAAATAAATAAATAAAATATTTTAAAAAACCCCAAAACCTATAAGGTTGCACCCACTGTTCTGAAGCGAATAGGGTGAGATGTCGTCCTCCCAAAGGGTAACAATACAAATTGAAAGCATTCATGTATCACTTAAAATCATTTAACACTCACAATTTTCTGAGAATATCCCACCAGCTGGATTTTGCTAAGGGCAGAGTTCACCTCTTGCATTGTATAGCATCTTCTCCAGGTTGATACTTCCACTGCGTCCTTGAGTGGAGAAGGCAACAGCCTGTAAATGCATCACAATGCCAACTTTTTATGTTATTGTGGATTCCTTTCAAGTAATCTGTCCATCTCATCTAAACTGTCCAACTTACTGGCATAGAATTGTGTATAGGATTCTTCTGTAATCATTTTTATTTCTGTAAGGTTGGTAGTACTGTCCCCCTCTCATTTCTGATTCTAGCAGTTTGAGTATTCTCTTTTTTTGTCAATCTAGCTAGAGGTTTGCTAGTTTTGTTGATCTTAAAAAAAAAAAAAAAAACTTTTCTCTATTCTTTTTATCTTTTTTATTCTGTTTATCCAGCATATAGCTAGATATTGTGTGTGTTTTATTTTTTAATCTAGTCTGGTCATCTCTGCCATTTGGACTATTTAATCTACTCACATTTCTTATTGATACAGCTGGATTATGTTTACCAATTTTTGTTTTCTCTATGTCTCACGTCTTTTTTGTTCCTTTGTTCCTCCTTTTCTACTTACCCTTTGATACTAAGTAAGTATTTTCTGATGCAGCCTTTTAATTTCCTTCATGGTTTTTCACTATATTTCTCTGAGTTATTTCCTTAGTGGTTGTTCTAGGGCTTATCATGTATGTCTTAACACAGAACATTTCTACATGACATTTCAAATTCTATTTTCTGTTCATGAATGATAAATGAAATACACTTCATTCATGGGCCTGCAAAGCTATAGAAAAGGACTGAGTTAAACATAGTTGAGGCCTGGCATAAAGGAGGAGAATAAAACACAATTTATGACTTTTCAGATCAGCAGCAGGAATATCCCTTAAAACAAGCAAACAAAACTTTGTCATTAGAAAAACACTGTGTCATTTGTTCTAACAGAATTGGGAACACACCTGGATAAGAGAGATTCTCTGTTTAAATAGATCAAGGAACTTCTGGTCAACTGAAAAGTGTGCATTAGCTTTGCTCTCTCTCCTGAAATACCACTGAACAGAGTAAAGAGCTTTACACACACACACACACACACACACACACACACACACACACACACACACCCCTTCAAGACAAAGAGAATAAGAGGCAACAGCAACAGCATTTTAGAAAGTGGAAAGTAAAAAGACAACTGACTTAGCAGATACAGGAAAATTTAATTCATATTAATTTATACTGCAGAACCCATAAAAAGCTCAGCAATCTGAAACAATAGGCACGTGTGGAAGTGAGGTTGAAGGTGAGCCTAAAAACAAGAGGATCTGTTGAAAAAAAAATACTGCTAAGATATAGAACCTTCCAGTTCTCTTCACCTAGTGCAGATAGCTCAGCGACTGCCTCTTCCCTTCCCACACATGTTGCTAGAGGTTGTTCTCTGGAGAAATTAAAAATGAAAGTCTAGACTAGGGGAAACCATCAATATCTAGAGGCAGCTTTGTTAATAGGCAAAAGTTTATATACTAAGAGTAACAATTTTCTTCTCATAAGGCTCTCAGAACACTATTAGTCAGGCTTATATCCTCCAGGGTAGCTGACCAGAAGAAACTTCTCTGAAGAATTTGATCGGCAGCAAAGAAAAAAATCAACTAAAAGATACTGACACTGGAGGTTTCATGATAAAATGGCCCAACCCGCTTACAGTATGGTAAAGTCTAGAATTCAACAAGTCCTAACTCATGGCACAGACTTTCTAATCAGTTTTTTACAGTCCAACTCCTAAACATGGCCAATAACCAAGGATCACCATATGCTTGAAGAAAGTCTCTAAAATGATAAAGGCCAAAACAAATGAAGGGAGGAAGAGAGGAAGTAAATTAGGCTAGTAGCATAAAACTTTATTTATTTTTTAAAAAAGATTTGTTTATTTATTTATTTGAGAGAGAGAGAGAGAGATCACAAGTAGGCAGAGAGGCAGGCAGAGAGAGAGGAGAAAGCAGGCTCCCCGCTGAGCAGAGAGCCTGATGTGGGGCTCGATCCCAGGACCCTGGGATCATGACCTGAGCTGAAGGCAGAGGCTTTAACCCACTGAGCCACCCAGGCACCCATCATAAAACTTTAAAAGATACTATCATTACTATCCTTAGAGAGATGAATAAGATAGACTAAGAAATGAGAAGTGACTTCTATTAAAAAAAAAAGAGGAGTATTAAGAGAATAAAAAAGCTCTTGGACATAAAAATATGACAGTATACAGACAATGAAAGCATACCAACAAAACCTACCAAAATTTCAAATAAGAACAAAAAAAAATACACAAGACACAAAAGAGCCGCATAAAAGAAAAATCAGAAAAGCTTCAAAACAAGGTGACAGAACTTAATAAAGAGTTAGAAATTTAAAAAATTTTTTCAATATTGAAGACTAAATTAATAGAAATATAAGAGCGGATAAACACACAACAGGTAAGAAGAACACAGGAAGAAAAGATTAAATGCTAAAAAGAAATGAAGTGATAAAAAGACTTTGAAAGGAAGTAGCAAATAATGAAGACAGGCAAGGAAGAAGCAAAATACGGAGAAAAGGAGTCCCTAACAGAAATCCAAACAAGGGAACAGAACAAATACTAAAAGCTCTAATTGCTAAAATAAAAAGAAGCTTGGAGTTAAATACTGAAGGGACACACTGCATACCTGAGAATACTGACCCAGAAGAAGTAACACCAGATATATTCTGGGAAAATATTTACACTTTAAATAAACTTTAGGGCAGCTAGGCAAAAAGAGTGAATGCCTTACAAGGGAAAAATACAATACCAGAGTTTCAACAGCAGTGCTATTTTACTCAAAGAAAAAACAGTAAAATATTGAAGACATTCAAAGAAAAAAAATGCAAGCCAAAGATTATACATTAACAAAACGGACTCTCAAGTTTATAGAGCACAGATAAACAATTATTAACCTGCAAGAACTCAGGGAATATTGTTTTCATGATCCCATCCTGCGGTATCTTGTGAAGAATGAGTTTCAGACAACCTAAATGACTATAGAAACATCGATATATAAGCTGGTACTGAGTATTAAATATACAGTCATGTAGAAGTAAGACCAAATAAAGATTAAAAGAGAGAGAAGATAGTATGTAATGGCTGTAATATAATATATCTGATAATATAATATGAGCATGGAAAAAAAAAAGGGAAGGAAAATACACATACTCTTTCCTCCAAATGATGACTTAGAAACAACAACAAATGCAGGAGTAATAACCATTGTTAGCAACCAGATCAGGAGCTGACAATTCCATTTCCCACTAAAAGAATACAGAGTTTTTTAGAGAAATGGGTGACTCCAGATGTAGGGCAAGGAATGTACAAGAGGAGTCCTAAACATCTTGCTGAAGTACATAGCAAGGAAACAATCAAAGGGTACAAAGGTCATAATAAAAGGACACAGTGGACAGCACAAAGAGGCTCACGGTCCAAAGCTGGGATAATCTGAGCTGCAAAAAAGACAGTGTTGCAATGGGTTGAAATCCATGATATATGTGTCAGAGTGGGCTGTAAGTAGATTGGGGCACAGAGAGGGGCTTCTGAGTTAGTGGAAATACTTATTTTAGACCTGGGTAGCATTTATAAGGATGGCTGCTTTATAAAAATTTATTAACTATGTATTGTTTTTGGGTTTTTTTTTGTTTATAATAAAAAGGTTAATTTAAAAAATAAAATTATGCCAAAGTAAGAAATTATGATAGCAGAAGTGAAAAACTCATGGTTCAGTTGGGAGGTAAACAAAATTTTTCAGGCAAAAGAGCAAACATGAACAAAGAGAGGGAAGAGAGGGCAGAAAAACAGATCTGAGTTCCAGTCCAGGTGGTTCAAAATCTAAGTAGTGAGAGTTCTGGAAAGAGGGAAACACAAAACATGACAGAGAAAATTTTAAAAACAAACAAACAAAATTTTGGTTTTTTTTTTTTGCCAAGAGGGAGGTGGTTGTTTTTTTAGAGAGGGGGGGGGGGGGGGGGGGGGGGGGGGTGTCAGCAAACTTGTTTTGTAAAAAGCCACAGATATTTTAAGCTCTGTCTTAAAGATAGACACAGTCTGTCACATCATTCAACTTAGCTGTGTAATGCCCCAGACAGTATGTATATGCCTGAGTGTGGCTCTGTGCCAATCAAACTTTACCTGTAACAACTGTGGCAGGCCAGATTTGGCCCATTAAACGGGCTTGGCCACAGCTGGAACCTCTGTTCTGTATGGTAAGGGCCCACTAAGTACTCAGCACATGAGTGAAAACTGTCCTTCATTAAGACACATCATCACAAATTTAAGGAACAAGAAAATTCTTAAAGTTTCCACAAAGGAGTAAGTGGGATACATACCAAAGATATAGACTCAGAACAGTACTGGACTTTTCAGTGGCATTTCCAGAAGCTAAAGAAAATTGTTACCACATCTAGATTTCTACCCACTGGAAGGTAAGGGTAGAACTAAGGCATTTTAGACAGGCAGGGGCTCAGAAAATTGACCTTGTGTGCATTCTTCCTCAGGATGTCCCCAGCAAAAGGAAGACATGAAGAAAGACCCAGGAAATAGAGCTTCCAACAGAAGAAAGAGCTGAAGATATCTTCAGGATAATGGTGAAGGAAATCCTAAACTGGGAGCCATGCAGCAAGTCCAAGAGCAGCTGGGATCAGACTGGGGAAAGACAGAAGGCTCTGGGAGAGGATTTCCAAGAAGATAAAATTGTTACAACACCCAGTGAGTTTGAACATACTAAGGAGAGACCTATACAAATGGCAGAGAGGTTGGAGATATATCAGTAAGAAGTATGTAGGAAACTAAGCAAATAAGCAAACAAGAGCCCAATTAACTCAAGGGAAAACAAAAAGTCGTGCAAGAAAGAAAAAATAATCCTAACAATGTTATGTGGCCGGTGAGTTTAGCTAACCCAGCATATAGATCACATTGTTCCAATACTCTTCACCTTTGTTTCTCCAGCAACAAAATACTAATAATTCTTCCCTTTACCTTCTGTATAAACAGACACAAGATTTTATTTCATTTATCTATCCTATGTACACCGGATTGCTTTAGGTTTTATAATATTTATTC